CTAGCCTCATTCAGGAAATTATATCCTGATCATAGAACAGAAGAAATTCAAAATTGTATTGGTAGAGCTGTTGGGTTTATCAAAAAGATGCAGTCAGAAGATGGCTCCTGGTTCGTTTAGAACTATTCCATAATCTATATCTTTTACGTGTTTACTTTGTAATTATTTGTCTTTACAGATTCTGCTACTTCGAGCAATTCTTCAACATGGCAAACTCAGTATCCATTGCTGAGGAACTTGCTTTGTGCTGTCATTTTTTGCTAGGTATGGATCCTGGGGCATCTGCTTCAGTTATGCAGGATTCATTTACTTATAAAAAGGAGATGCAAAGTAAGAAGTTTGATACTTGATTTTAGGAATTTACTAATTTAAATATTGATTCTTTATTCTTATGAATTTATATTAGAATATTTATTTTTCTTAATTTTTTTATTTCCTTATTCAATAATCCTAATTTATGGTCATAAAGATTATAAATCCAATAAATATGTAATGTCGTATGGTTATTTTTTCTTAGGCGATAAAGTATAACAAAAGGCCTTTTGGTAACAGTTTGAAGTATCATCCTATAAATATGAGAATTGTTTGAGGTTTTCAATAAGAATTTACTTAGAGCATTAACAAAAGCTCAAGTACGGACCCATCGCGGCTATTACAGGAACTGCTGGCTGTGTTGGTTATCTCTCTTACAGTAAGTCTTTTTCCTTTTGATTAAGATTGGGTCATTTGTGATTTCATTTTTATTACAATTTAAATGTGGGTTTTTAATATGATTAAAAATGTATATGTTTTTTAAAAAATTTAATTCGTTTTATAGAGTGTTCATACGAGGAAGTAGATCAGAAGGCAAAGGCTTTACTCCTATTGAAGATGCATCTGTTGTTGATGTATGTTTGAGTTTGTTTGGAATTTTATCATTTTTAAATGAATTTCATCATTTTTAAATGAATTTTCTCATTTTAGCTTAGTATTTGAATAATGTTGTTCTAATTGTTCAATCTTTTTTAGTCAAATTACCTTTACAAGAATTTGTTCTAATTGTTTACCATTTAATTCTTCGATTTGAATTTTGTAGGAATGACCTTGCGGATGGATTACTGGAGAGGCTTTAAGTAGCAAATTTCTGGTTGCCGGTCTTGAGGATATTCATATATCATGTGTTTCTTAGTGTTGGTAGGACTTTTTTATGTGTTTTAATCAAATGTCCTAAGCATTCTCTTACATAAGCAGTATTTTGGTGTCTAAACTTATGTAATGTCTAGCTTGATGTTTCAGTACCGACCGAAGATTTATTTATTTAACTTGGATGTTTGTAAAATTTGATTTTTTTTTATATTTTTATGTATTCATACTTAATTAGAATCGTAATGAAATTTAAGATGGTTATTGGATATTGTTACAGCTTCAATTTGGGTAATACAAAATTGGAAGAAGATATGTTGAGAAGCAGTTTCGATTAGCGGCGTTTGTTCTAAAAACGCCACTATAGAATTTACCTTTTGCGGCGTTTGTTCAAAAAATGCTGCTATAGATTCTGACCTTTTGTGGCGTTTTTTCAAAAAACGCCGCTATAGATCTGACCTTTTGCGGTGTTTGTATCTAAAACGCTGCTATAGAACGACCTTTTGCGGCGCTATAGATCTGACATTTTGCGACGTTTGTTCTAAAAACACCGCTAAAAATTCTGACCTTTTGCAGCGTTTGTATCTAAAACGCCACTATAGAATGACCTTTTGTGGCGTTTTGTTCTAAAAACGCCGCTATAGATCTGACATTTTACGGCGTTTGTTCCGAAAACGCCGCTATATATATCGACTTTTAGCGGCGTTTGTTCCTAAAATGCCGCTATAGATATCGACCTTTAGCGGCATTTGTTCCAAAAGCGTCGCAATAGATCTTGACCTATTGCGGCGTTTTTTGTTCTCAAACGCCGCTAACTTTAGCGACGCCGGTATGGCCGACGCTTCTTGCAGCGTTTTTCCAATCGCCGTAAGTACTTTTAGCGGCGCTTAAAAACGCCGCTATAGGACTAAAAAAACACTGCTAATATTCTGTTTTGTTGTAGTGACATGAGAAAAAAAACACAACACATGCACGATTTGTTCTCGATTTAATAAAATGAAACACATTAAAATGCATATAAAAGATTATATATAAATTTCTCAATTTAATATATTCTTACTATTAATTAAATCAAACAAAGAAATAATGCATTGAAAAGAAAATACTGGTTCATGGTTTTAATATGACAACTTTTAAATGAAGCTATAGTCAAATGTAATTTGGATATTTTTTAAATTGCCGACGTTAACTTTTAATTAAGGGTAAAGTATAGTAATGTTCACTGAACATTTCTGAAGCTTGCATTTAGGTCCCCTAACTTTTAAAACTTGCAATACAGTCCCCCAACATTTAATCTGTTTGTAATATGGTCCCATACCTATGAAAATTAGGGTAAATTATATAAATGGACACTGAACTTTTTATGTACTTGAATTTAGGTCCCCCAACTTTTAAAACTTACAAAACAATCCTCAGTTTCATTCTAAACCACAAATTCCAAAGTAATTCAATTTCATTCTAAACCCTAAATTCCAAAATAATTCAATTATATTCTAAAACCCAAATTCTAAAATACTTCAATTTCTATTTTTTATAAACGATGCCAATGTCACTAAATTATTAATTAATTTACTTTTTATATTTAAAAACATATGATAATTTTTAATATTAATTTAAAGACATGAAAATTTTTCAATAGTAAGAATACATGATAATAATTCATTTATTTAAAAATAAATATATTTCTGATTATTTGCGTATTTTTTTATATCTAATCATACGTGTTAATATATTTTATATCTTTCATATAAATATTAAGACTACATAAATAGCAGAGTCAAAATTTTATATATGAGTTATGTTAATTATAGTAATGATGTATAAATATATTTTATTTTTATATTATTTCTATTTTAATTAAAATATAAATATTACCATGATAATTAAATATTTATTTACTTATTACATCGAATATTTTTTGTAGAAAAATTATTTAATAAAATCATAAAAAACACAATAAAAAAATAAACACTGAAGTTGACTACTTCAAAAATAAAATAAAAAAATCAATAATTTAATATAAGAGAAAATAACTTCAGTGACCGAAAATGCCTTATAATATACGATTTTAACCAACTTTTTTGGGATTTGCAAAAATGACCAACAAATTTACAACGCGAACTACAATTTCGCAACACAGATTCCAAAATTGCAACGTGAATATGTAAATCGCAACGATAATATGTAAATCGCAACGCTAATTACCGATATAGGTAAACAGTATTATCGCAAAGCTAATTACCAATATATGTAAACAGTACTATCGCAACGCGATTTTCAAATTCGCAACGCTAATTACCGATATATATAAACAGTGTTACCGCAACGCGATTTTCTAAATTCGCAACGCGAATATGTAAATCTCAACGCTAATTACCGATATAGGTAAACAGTACTATTGAACGCGATTTACAAATTCGTAACGCTAATTACCGATATAGGTAAACAGTGTTATCGCAACGATAATATGTAAATCGCAACGCTAATTACCGATATAGGTAAACAGTGTTATCGCAACGCGATTTTCAAATTCGCAACGCTAATTACCGATGTAGGTAAACAGTACTATCGCAACGCGATTTTGGAAACTGTGTTGCGATTTACAAATTCGCGTTGCGAATTCTAGATCGCATTGCGAATTTGTTGGTTATTTTTGCAAATCCAAAAAAAGTTGGTTAAAATCGTATATTATAAGGCATTTTCAGTCACTGAAGTTGTTTTCTCTTAATATAATATACCCTAAGTTGATGATAACAATCAACTCAAAAGAGATGGGGTTTGTGCCATATTTTCGTAACGTACATAAACTTTCTATTTCATGGTCACGTATTCTTTTAGTTCTAGCATGATCTATTTTTTATTTTTCTAATACACTTAACAAAATTATATTATAACTCGTTAAGTGATTTCATAGGTAAAAAAAATGTTATTTCCTTTACAAGTTTTAAATTCAAACAATTGTGTTTGTAGGGTATATCTATATTATTAATAAATTAAAAAATTGAATAAATACTATCTTATAATCACATCAAACTATTAAAAAACTAAATTATAATTGAAATAAATAAAAATTATAAGGATGTCAATTGGGGATTTTGATTCTTAATTTTTTCATTGAGAGATTATGTTTTTTTATTCAATTTCTTCCATAATCATTTTTTATATTTAAATTATTGAAGGTCACTAAATTTACATTTACGAGGAGGGAGTGTATTTTTTTTCTTCACAAAAGTAAAAAAATCAAAACGCTATCACGTTCTTAAAGATAATCTAGTATGTTCCTCCTTAAATTGAAATATTTTAGAATTTGGGTTTTAGAATGTAATTGAATTATTTTTGGAATTTAGGGTTTAGAATGAAATTGAATTACTTTGGAATTTGGGGTTTAGAATGAAATTGAGGAATATCTTGTAAGTTTTAAAAGTTAGGGGACCTAAATTCAAGTGTCTGAAAAGTTCAGTGACCATTTATATAATTAACCCTAATTTTCATAGGTGCGGGACCATATTGCAAATGGATTAAATGTTGGGGGACTGTATTGCAAGTTTTAAAAGTTGAGGGACCTAAATGCAAGCTTCAGAAATGTTCAGTGACCATTACTATACTTTACCCTTTAATTAATTAAAACAATACACGTTAATCATAATAATAATGCTATTATGCCTTTTCAAAATCTAATATTCCATCTCTTTATTGCTATGTATCCCCTGGGTCTGCTTCCTTCAGCATACCAACATACCGTTGAAACAAAAAAGCATTTACATTATCATCCACAAAGAAGAAGAAACATTTACATTTTGATAAATGGGAAGTGCATCACCTTGATCCAACAAACGAGTCCAAAGCAGTGATTGATTTCATTGCCGATTATTATGAAAATGTTGAGAAATACCCCTGGTTATTTGTCGGCTAGGTTGCTTGAGTCTTCCCCCTATTTCCCTGAACCGCTCGAAGATATACTCAAAGATGTCAAGGATTGCATAATTCCAGGCATCACTCATTGGCAAAGTCCAAACTTCTTCGCCTACTTCCAAGCAAATGCTAGCACTGCTGGCTTTTTAGGGGAAATTCTTTGCTCGGGTTTTAATGTCGTTGGTTTCTACTGGATTTCATCCCCTGCGGTGACTGAGCTTGAATCCATTGTGTTGGACTGGATGCGCAAGTTACTTCAGCTACCATCATCATTTTTGTTTACCGGAACATGCTGCCCTCAAAGCCAGCAGTGCTAGAAAACTGATGTCCCTCAAACATACTGTCCTGGGCTAAGGTCCTTCTGACACATGTATTGGGCCGGGTCTAGAGAGCAGTGTCAAAAAAGAATGAACTTCTAAGAAGATTCAACCAGCCATCGCTAAAACATAGAAATTTCAAAAGCCAATCGCAATCTTTTTAAGTCAAATAAAAAATGAAAATATGGGGAAGTTTTCATTGAAGGTGGGCCAATTCTTTGTTTTGTAATATATATATATATATATATATATATATATTATTTTGTATACGCTATTAATGAACTCTTCTTTCAACTCTTAGCCCTCTCAACATGGGATTGTCTTAGGAAAGACGGGTTAATATAAGGCGTTACCGGATACATTAAAAGATATTTAACAAATTCGGTTTAGCGCTACCGGAAATGTTGAGTAATAATAATGTAGTAGGTCTAAATCATGAAAAAATATTAAAAAATTTGGCAACCGGCAAACTTAGCTTGTCGATTTATGTCGATACTTTATAAAAATGTATCAATCCACATCAATATAACAAGTAAAAATATGAAAAAACCGGTCTCGAAAAGACAAAACCGGTAAAGCGCTACCGGATATATTGAAATTGTCGATACTTTAATATAAGTATCGACACTTTGTGAATTTAAAAGAGAAGTATTTTAGCGCCTATAAAGTGTCGATACTTTATAAAAATGTATCGATCCACAACGATATAACATGTAAAAATATGAAAAAACCGGTCTCTAAAGGACAAAACCGGTATAGAGCGACTGGATATATTGAAAGTGTCGATACTTTAATATAAGTATCGACACTTTGTGAATTTAAAAGAGAAGCAGTTTTAGCGCCTATAAAGTGTCGATACTTTATAACAATGTATCGATCCACAACGATATAACAGGTAAAAATATGACAAAACCGGTCTCTAAAGGACAAAACCGGTATAGAGCAACCGAATATATTGAAAATGTCGATACTTTAATATAAGTATCGACCCTTTGTGAATTTAAAAGAGAAGCAGTTTTAGCGCCTATAAAGTGTCGATACTTTATAAAAATGCATCGATCCATAACGATATAACAGATAAAAATATGACAAAATCAGTCTCGAAATGACAAAACCGGTAAAACGCTACCGGATATATTGAAAGTGTCGATACTTTAATAAGTACGCGTAATAAATTATCGATACTTTCAAATAAATAGGTAATTATACTATCGAAAGTATCGACACCTGACATAAAAGTATCGACACTTTGGTAGTTCTATCGATTAAATATAAATAACATATTCGGTAAAAATATAAAGGGCATAGTTAAATATCCTCTCAAAAATAGATAGAACAGACGAGTTTTTGAAATCGAAGAGTAATTGTTGCTGCATTTCAGAAGGCGTTTCTAAAGCGAAGTTTGTTTGTTTGTTGTTGCAGTCGAATTGAAAAGTACGTTGTCGAAACCCTAGTTTTTTATTATTATAGTAATCAGAAATAGGGTTTTTATGTATTGTTTGGGGTTTTGGAGTAAAGAAGCATTTGGGACCGATTACAAGTAGAAAGTGATATTCTAGGTAAAATATAAATATCGATACTTTTATTAAATATTATAGGTAGAAAATGATATTATAAGTTGTATAAATGTGCCGATACTTGGAGTATTGAGTGTTCCTATTCGTTTGAAGGAAATAGGGATTAGGGTTTTTGTGTTTCGTTTGGGGATTTCGAATCGAAGCCAAAAAGGATCTGGGACTGATTATATAATACTATAGGTAGAAAATAAATATGGATAGCTGTTTATAATATTATAGGTAGAAAATGATATTGTAGGTTGTATAAATGTGTCGACACTTGTCGTAGTGGCCATTCAAATTCTTTTGAAGGAAACTGTTTTATTACAAGAGTAGTTATCGATATTTTTATAAGTTGTATAAATATATGAAGGAAAAATGAAGTCAAAGGATCTTGGAATTGTTGGTGGTGAAGGTGACGTTGAAATTGAGGCCAAGATTCGAAAGCAACCAAAGGGTGGATATGTGTACTTCTAGTAAGTATCAATGTCTTTTTGTTATTATTCTTGAAATGGTAATTGGATTAAGTATTTAAGAACTTTAAATTGATTACAAATTTTAAATGTTGACAGTATGACCGAATGCCAAAAGATGAAGGAAGGTGGCGAACACATCGGTTCGGTATATAAATTGAAATTGACATTGAGTATTATTTAGCGTTAATGTATTGATTAAGAAACATTTATGCTTAATATTAGGTGAGAAATGATGTGTTGGAGAAATGGAATTCGATGAGTGATGCTGATAAGGAACCTTACATCGCACAGTCAAAGATGTATAGTGAAGAATACAAAGAATGGAGGAAAGCACATGAAAAGAAAGTATTCATTAAACTTGTAAATGCATTGATACAAAATATATAAGAACTATAACATTATATATTGGTAAAAAATGTAGGAAGTGTCGACAAGGTGCAACATTAAAAGGGTGAATTCATTAATTAAACACCTTAAGGAGATGGGTCAATTGAATGTGCTGGAGAAATGAGGTTTGGATCATTGGTAGGAGTAAGGGATCGACCTATTCGGAGGGAATTGTGTCGATCCTTGATGGAGCAATTTGATGTTGAATAATGTATTGCTAAATATGGTGATTTTTCATTTCCTCTGGGGATCCCATGTGTTGCAGCCATTTTGGGGGTAGAAAATGAAGGCAAAAGTGTTGTAGAAGTCTCTAAGAGTAAGAACTGGAAAGCACTTACCTCCAAATATGGTTTGAAGCAGAAGGTGACATATGCTGAACTTGAAGAGGATATCAAAAGTAGATCTTACGGGGGATGAGATGAAGACCCGAGTTCTATTGTACCTTATTGGGATCTTTCTTTGTCCAACGGGTGATACATCAACGAAAAAGGACTATATGAAGCTCATTTACGATGAAGGCTTGAAGGGTGAATTCAATTGGGCTGAATATGTCCATTCGAGATTGATTGAATCATTAATCACCTTTAAAAATGGCAGCCAAAGATACCTCAAAGGGTGCATGGCAATCTTAGAGGTAAATGAGTTGAAGAACATTTTTATTTTTTTATATAAAATGATAGTATAGTTATTATATAAAATTATAAATTTTATTATAAATGCAGGTTACACTGTTCGATTTTTGGTCGGGCTGTGAGGCAGTGCCAGCTTATGAAAGAACCGGAGTGGCACTCTTCCATGTGAGTACTTTATTCCCACCATGTGATAAGTGTGACAACCCCATCAACTCACAACTCAGCTTTGAACTCAATCAATATTGTCTTTTACCCGCTTGATGGTTCATAACGCATGTTACTTGAACAATATGAATCAATTATGCAATTTTCATGTTCAATTTAACACTACATTTCAAATTCATTTCATATGTAATTGGAGTTTGAATTTGAATTTCAATTTGAGTTTGAATTTCAATATAAATTTCGGTTCCACTATAAATATTAGCCAGAGCGCTTGTTCTATCCAAACAACAACTTACTCAATGGAAGCATCGGGAGTGTTTCAAATTTCATTTATAAGGTAACAACTTACCTTTTTCAAAACTTATTAACTTAGCTAATATGCGTATTATCATTGATTATTCCTACTTAGAAATATCGGTAACTTACAAACATGTATCGACGCATAAAGTTTCCAAACTTAAAGTTTCTCATAAAGTGTCGATACATTTATAAAAAGTATCGATCCAAAAAACATCGAAACCAAATATTATAATGTAATAGGTAAATTTACAATGTAACCGATATAAATATACTGATTTTATGAGCAAATTGGTCAGCATAAATGATCGACACCTTTTAAATTTGTTTCGATACTTTTTGTCCGAGCCTTTGCTCAACGAGCTTCACGCATAAAAGTGTCGATACATTTAAAATTGTATCAATCCAAAAAACATCGAAACTGAAAATTATAATGTAATAGGTAAATATACAATGTAACCGGTATAAATATACTTGTTTTATGAGAAAATAGGTATACATAATGTATCGACACTGTTTAAATTTGTGTCGATACATTTTATCCATAATGAATTCCAAACGGGGTACACACATAAAGTGTCGCTACATTTTTAAAAAGTATCGATCTCAAAAACATCGAAACTGGTAATTATAATGTAATAGGTAAATTTACAATGTAACCAATATAAGTATACCGATTTTATGAGAAAATAGGTGAACATAATGTATCGACACTTTTTAGATTTGTGTCGATACATCTTGTCCAGAATGAATGCAAAACGGGGTGCACGCATAAACTGTCGATACATTTATAAAAAGTATCGATCCAAAAAACATCGAAACCGAAAATTATAATGTAATAGGTAAATTTACAATGTAACCGATATAAATATACCGGTTTTATGAGAAAATATGTTAACATATTGTATCGACACTTTTAAATTTGTGTCGATACTTTTTTAAATTACGCGTTTTTTTCCTTCATTATTTATATGTAATGCTATACAAACCCCAAATCGATAAACCCTAAGATGGCATTTGGTTCACTGGAATCCCTTGGAATTAGGGGGAATTGGAATCCAATTCCACCACTTTCCCATGTTTGGTTCAAGTTTTCAGATGGAGAATTGGAATCCAATTCCATCAATGGAAGGAAAGTAAATTTCATCCATAACATGATGGAATTGAAATCCTTTGGAAGAGGGAATGTGAAATTTGACCATACTACCCTCATCAATCTTTTGGTATTCGGGTCAGATTTTTTAAAAAAATTTCAGGATCGGGTTGGATTTTTTAAAAAATATTTGGGTTCGGGTCGGGTCGGGTTTTTTTAAGTTTGATATTCGGGTCGGGTTCAGGTTTAGGGTGAAAAATACTCGTCCCGAAAAAATATATAATTTTACCATATATATTTAGGAATAATTACAATAATACCCCTCCATATATATATTTTTTCAATTAAGTCACTGTTTTTTTAATAAAATTATTTTTTTATTATTTCGGGTCGG